TTTTGTTGACCCTACACTTTACTAAGCATGATATCCTTCTCCAGGGAATGCTTCCTTCTGACAACATGGGCAAAGTAGGTGAGATGAAGTCTGGCCATTCTCACTTCCAAGGAGTATTCTGGCTGACTTCTTCCAGGACAGATTTGTTAGTCCTTTTAGCAGTCCATGGTACTCTTAGTAGTTTTCTCCAACACCACAACTCAAAAGCATCAACTCTTCATTGGTCTTCCTTATTCATTGTCCAGCTCTCACATGCATATGAGGCAACTGAAAATACCACGGCTTGGGCTAGGCACACCTTAGTCTTCAAGGAGACATCTTCACTCTTCAGCACTTGAAAAAGGTCTTTTGCAGCTGATTTCCCCAATGCAATACGTCATCTGATGCCTTGACTGCTGCTTCCATTGGTGTTGATTGTAGAATTAAGTAATATGAAGTCCTTGACAACTTCAATCTTTTCTCCATTTATTGTGAAGCTGTTTATTGGACCAGTTGTGAGGATTTTTATTTTCTTTATATTGAGATGTAATCCATACTGCAGACTGTACTCTTTAATCTCCATCAGTAAGTGCTGCAAGTCATCCTCACTTTCAGCAAGCACAGTTGTGTTGTCTGCATATCACATGTTGTTATTGAGTCTTCCTCCAATCCTGATGCCACATTCTTCTTCATATAATCCATTTTATCAGATTATTTTCTCAACATACAACTTGAATAAGTATGGTGAAAGGATACAACACATTCTCTTCTTGATTTTAAACCATGCAGTATCTATCCCTCTGTTCTGTTCAAACAACAGCCCCTTGATCTATATACAGGTTCCTCATGAGTACAATTAAGTGTTCTGGAATTCCTATTCTTCTCAATGCTATCCACGATTTGTTATGATCTACACAATCAAATGCTTTTGCATAGCCAATAAAACACAAGTAAACATCTTTCTGGTATTCTTTGCTTTGAGCCAAGATCCATCTGACATCAGTAATGATATCCCTTGTTCCATGTCTTCTTCTGAATTCAGCTTGCATTTCAGAATGCTCCCTGTCAATATACTGTTGAAACTGTTTTTTTGAATTATCTTCAATAAGATTTTACTTGCATGTGATATTAATGATATTGTTTGAAAATTTCCACATTCTGTGGGATCACCTTTCTTTGAATGGATATAAATATGGATCTCTTCCAGTCAGTTGGCCAGGTAGCTGTCTTCCAAATCTCTTGGCATAATCGAGTGAGTGCCTCCAGTGTGACATTCATTTATTGAAAAATCTCAGTGGGTATTCTGTCAATTCCTGAAGCCTTGTTCTTCACCAATTCTTTCAGTGAAGCTTCGACTTCCCCCTTCAGTACCATTGGTTCTTAATCATATGCCACCTCCTGAAATGGATCAAGATTAACCAGTTCTTTTTGGTACAGTGACTCTGTGTATTCCTTCTATCTTCTTTTGATGCTTCCTGCAGCATTCAACATTTTTCCCATAGAATTTTTCAATATTGCAACTAGAAGCTTAATTTTTTTCCTCAGTTCTTTCAGCTTGAGAAATGCCAAGTATGTTCTTCCCCTTTGGTTTTCTAATACCAGGTCTTTGTACATTTCATCATAATAATTGACTTTGTCTTCTCGAGCTGCTCTTTGAAATTTTCTTTTCAGCTTTTTTATCTTGTCATTTCTTCCATTAGTTTTAGCTACTCTCTTCTCACGGGAAACCTTCAGAGTCTCTTCTGACATTCATTTTGGTCTTTTCTACCTTTCTTATCTTTGTAATGACCTTTTGCTTTCTTCATAGATGCTATTCTTGATGTCATCCCACAATTCTTCTGGCTTTCAGTCATTGGTGTTCAATGCATCAAATCTATTCTTTTGATGGTCTCTAAATTCAGAAGGGATATTATCAAGGTCATATTTTGGCTCTCATGGACTTGTTTTAATTATCTTCAACTTCAACTTTAACTTCAACTTGCATAAAAGCAGTGGATGGTCTATTCCACAATCAGCTCCTGGCCTTGTTTTGGCTGAAGATATTGAGCGAGAATTCTCCATCACCTCTTTCCAAAGAAGTGGTCAATCTGATTCCTGTGTATTCCATATGGAGAAGTCCATGTGGATAGCCACTGTTTATGTTGAAAAAATGTATTTGCAATGAGTAAGTCACCGGTCTTGCAAAATTCTATCATGTGATCTCCAGTGTTATTTCTATCACCAAGGCCATATTTTCCAACTACCAGAAACTGTTCTTTGTTTCCAAATTTGCATTTAATCACCCATGATAATCAACACATCTTGATTTCATGTCTGGTCAATTTCAGACTGCAGAAGTTGGTAGAAATCTTCAATTTCCTCATCTTTGGTTTTCGTGGTTGGTGCATAGATTTGAATACTAGTAGTAGTATTAACTGGTCTTTCTTGTAGACATATGTATATTATCCTACCACTGACAGCATTGTACTTCAGGTTAGATATTGAAACATTCCTTGTGATGATGAATGCCATACCATTCCTCTTCAATTTGTCATTCCTAGCATAGTAGATTATGTGGTTGTCTGACTCAAAATGGCCAAAACCAGTCCATTTCAGCTCACTAATGTCTAGGATATCGATCTTTATGCATTCCATTTCATTTTTGACAACTTCCAGTTTTTCTAGATTCATACTTCACACATCCCACGATCCAATTATTAATGGATGTTTGCATCTGTTGCTACTCATTTTGAGTCATGTCACATCAACCAATGGAGGTCCTGAAAGCTTTACTCCATCCATATCATTAAGGTCATCTGTACTCTGAGGATTCAGCCCTTCCCCAGTCATATTTTGAGTGCCTTCTAACCTGATGGGCTTATCTTCTGGCACTATATTAGACAATGTTTCAGGGCTATTCATAAAGTTTTCCAGTAATATATCAGACAGTGTTACACTGATATTCATAAGGTTTTCACTGGCTAATTGTTTGAGAAGTCAATGCCCTCTTCCTTCTTCTGAGTCTGTCTTAGCCTAGAAGCTCCAGTGAAACCTGTCCGCCATGGGTAACCCTACTGGCATTTTGCAACACTGGTGGCATAGCCTCCAGCCTCAGAGCAACACATAACCCACCGCAGGATGACAGACTGACAGACAAGTTCACCTTCCTTAGTTGTTCCTAACCACTCTACACCTGCCTATCTTGGGCCTAGTCTTAAAATAAAGCCACCCCTGAAGCCAAGCCAAGCAGCCCCAAGTCGTGCCTTGGACAATGTTCTATTGTGACCCATAAGATTTTCCAAAAACTAGCCAAGGGAAATCTTATGGGTTACAATAGAACATTGCCCAACCTGCTTGCATTGAACATGTCATCAGGAGGGATCAGTTGCTGGAGGAGGACATCATGCTTAGTGAAGTAGACAGCCAGTGAAGGTGTGGGAGATCCTTTGGTGAGATGGAATGGCACAATATCCACGGCAATTGACTCAAACGTCTCAGTGATAGTGAGAATGACACAGGACCAGGCAACATTTCATTCTGATGTACATAAGGTCACCATAAGTCAGAGCTGACTTGAAGAAAGCTATCTATCTATTTAAACCTTAGCTTTAGGAGGTCTAGGTAATGAAATGAGGCACAAATATCATCACCTCCACCAACCTCATGATTATTAAAAAATATATTATTTTTATAAAATAATTATCATTACATCTTTGCAAAATTCTTTCTTAGAATTTCCAAACACATAAACCACTTTCTTGTATCAGCTTCTTCTACAGTTTTAGCATCAATAGCACACATCCTACAGGCAGGTGGATGTGGACACATCTTATTATTTAAAAGAATAACATTAATGATGAATCTTATCACCTCTGGTATAGTAAAATCCCTTCTTCACTCTAACTCCTTTTTTTGGACCTCATGCTGCAACCTGGGGACCATGAGGTGTTGTTAGGAACTGATCAGGAACTGGCTTCAAACTTCAACCACTTATCCTGCACATCAATTCTGACAGTCCAAGGACCTTGTCCAGCTGTCACTCTCAGAGAACATCTGGAGATTCCATCATCCTTTGGGAACCTTCAGTGCAATGGTGACCTGACTTCCAAAGCCTAGAGTCTTGGGCTTGAGGTCTTTGCAACATATCCTCATAGCACTTATCTCAACAGATCAAATATATTTAATTGTCTGAGTGATGGTCCAGCTAGGCTGTTAGCTTCTCAAAGGAAGGAAGGTGTTATAATTATCTCTGCATTACTGCCATTGAATAAACTACAAGGGGCAAAGCCTATGTGAAGGCGTGGAAGCCAAATGAATGGATAAAGGGCAGCAGCAGGTCCAGGGCAGACCTGAATGGGCAGTAACTTGCAGTCACAAGGATATCCTGGTTCCACCTTATTAGACCTTAAGGCACGTGCCCAGGAGGATACTGGAGACAGGAAGCTGAGGAGTGTGTGATGCTGTCACCCTCCACCCCTTCCTTTGGTTGTGAAAGCGGTAGTATACCCTGGCTGTATATCACAAACCCAGCACAGGATAAAAGGGCTCTGTCCTGAGTTCCTTATCCACAGCCTCCTCAGGATCAGCCTTCTCCTGTCTCCTCTGCACCTGGTGAGTGTCTGGAAGGGGTCAGAACCTCGGCTGGGGGTGTTTGGGGAAGACAAGCCCACACATGAAATGTAAGCAGCAGGAGGAGGCCCATGGGGGCAGCAGTGGGACAGGTGATGGGGAGGAAGGAGCCTCATGGCACATATCAGGGGTTCTGTGAATTGTAAAAGCCACAGAAACTCAGGGTTCTTTGCATTTTGTGCTGAGCACATTGTCAGAGATGCACAGTGTTCCATCTGACATCCCTAAGGAGCTTCATCCAAATGCACGTGCCCCTTCTGTGCCCCTACTTGTCCCACAGATCTTGGCTTAGAAAGCAGGTTGATCACAGGGGGGCAAGTGTTTGACAAGACATACAAGGCAAGAGACAACAGCCCAAAGTTTCTGTGTTCGTATATCTTTTTTTTTTTTTCCAGGGTGAAACTCCTGGTGAGATGTCTTGCCAGCAGAACCAGCAGCAGTGCCAGGCTCCTCCCAAGTGCCCCTCACCCAAGTGTCCCCCAAAGAGCACTGCACAGTGCTTGCCCGCAGTCTCCTCTGGCTGTGCTCTGAGCTCCGGGGGCTGCCGTGGCCCCAGCTCTGAGTCTGGCTGCTGCCTGAGCCACCACAGGCGCCGCAGGTCCCACCGATGCCGGCGCCAGAGCTCCGACTGCAGTGACGATGGCAGTGGTCGGCAGTCCGGAGCCTCCAGCTGTGGCCACAGCTCTGGGGGTTGCTGTTGACCTGGTTTCCTGATGCTGAAATAAGAAATCTTAGAGAAAGCAAGGATCCAAAGCACCAAGGAAAATCTTATCTTGGTGCAGCCTGTTTTAGCACCCTAATCTCCTTTGTTGGACTGAACAGCTGAAATGTCCATGGCAGGTGGTTGAACTCTCCTCAGAAAGCTCCTTCCATGTATTTTCCAGGAGCCTATGGGCTTCTCCTTCTCTGCACCTGATGATATTTGTTACCTCCTGTGTCTGACCATGTAGAAAAATAAAACTTCCTCTCAATACCACCTGACTCTGACTGTCCTTTGCTTTTTCCTACCCAAGGCTGCCCAATGATTCTTCCCTCCTGAGGGTCCAGCATGCCCAGCACCAGGGAAGAATCCTAGACAGTGACTGCAACATTAATAAGTCAGGTTTTCCTTCATCCATGGGGGCTGTGGGAGCTTTGAGTGTGTCAAGGCTGGAGGAAAGAAGACATGTTGGTTTGGGACAGAACACTAGCAAAAGGACTGGCTTGTGAAATATGATGGGGAGAGATGATCTGACATTGGACTCCCTCTTCGCTGTTGAACAAACTTGAATCAGAATATGAAAAGCTTTTAAATTGTCAAACCAGAGCTCCTGGAAGGGACAGAGTGATACAGAGAATATGCAAGTAGAGGAGAATGAGAACAAAGAGGATGGAGAGAACAGTGTGGAGGTAGAGAGAAAGGTCTAGGGAAGAAAACCAAATGAACGTGCAAATCATAGGCTTTAAAGAGAGGTGAGCTAGAATGTTAGCAAATTCTGAGGAATGTGAAGTTTTCCCTGAAAGAATGTATGATGGGTGTTCAGCAACTGAGAGGCTCTGAGATATGAGAAAACAGAGAAGAAAAGAAAAAAGGGCAAGAGAACTATCTTGGGGTTACACATTGGATATCTGTGCATTTCTTTCAAGAGATCTGAAAGAGAATGAAACTCATTTTCATTCTTTTTGTACAGTTAAATGTTGATTTTTTTTTGACATCAACAATAATAAAGAGATGTGCTACAGCTGCATCAGAATTGTAGCTGGGGAGCTCCTGCCCTGTCTTTGGAACAAAAGAGCAATATCCACCTATACTAGATGAGGTGATCATGCTTGGTGTTAACCAGCAGTGCCATATCACTTGGGAAATGAGATTTTTGGAATAATGATGCAGAGGAACATGGGTCTATCAGACCTCTCCACTCCTGCTCCAAGACCATCGAGTCGGATCCGACTCAGAGCAACCCCTCCTTGGGTTGCCGAGGTAGTATCACTATGGAAGTAGATTGCCCAACCTTCCTTCTGAGGAGCGGCTGGTGGGTTTGAACCGCCAGCTTCTGGTTAGCAGTTAAATGCCTTAGGCACTACGTCACCAGATACACTCCTTTTTCAGACCTAAGTCACTATAATTCTTGAAATAATTTTAGGAAAGATTAAAAGACATATAGCTGTGGCTAAAATCAAAGTGGAAATTTTTGAGAAAAATCAGAGCTTGGGCATAGAAGTTCTAGGCAGAAAACAAAACCTGTGTGGTACTTTGGGAATGCAACAGAATTATTTATTTATTTAGACCTTAGGAAGTGGCAAGGCAAACTATAAATTAGCTTTGTTCCAAGCCCCATGGACACATAATTTCTTAAGAAACTGAAATAAAACATGTCAAAATGAAACCTGATGATAGTTCCTTTTATTCATGCTAACTGGACAGACACCACTAGGTTCATGCCCTATATTCAGAAGCCATTTTGCTGGTCAAAGACCTCACCCACCACCTACAACTGATTGATACTAGTGACAACATCTGGACACTTCATCCTTGTTATAAAACAGGGAACTGATAACCAAAGGAGATGACTAAGTCCCATGGTCTTCTCACACACTAATATAATAGTTTACTATAGCTGGTATCATGCCAGCTCATTATGATTTGATTACTTGTCGGTCTTCTCTATTAAGGAGTTCTTCTGTCGTAGTGCCTAAGGCATTTGGCTGTTAATTAGAAGGCTGGCAGTTCAGACCCACCAACTCCTCCTCGGAAGGAAGGTTGGGCAACGTAGTTCCATAGAGATATCACCTCAGAAACCCAAGGAGGGTTGCTATGAGTCGAATCAACTCAATGGCAGTGAGGGTTTTTTTTTTTTTTTTTTTTTTTGGCTTCTCCATCAACCTGTAAGCTTCTGAAGGACAGGAAGCATATCTTACACATTTCTGAATCCTCTATGCTTAATACATTCCTGAAATGAAAGGTATGCTGAATTCATGCTGTTTGAATGAATAAATGGATGAAAAATTATGGGCTCAGGGCCATAGAGTCAGAATCTGTGGAAAAATGGTGGGAGGCAAGAGGGCAGGATATATATATATATTACATTGAAGCTTCTGAATTGGTCCATGAAGCTCATTCTCTTTGCTTTTCAGAGCCCTATGTTTTCCCACAACTCACTCTGGCCTTATGAAACTCTGAAGGTTCTCCACTTGAGCATCATCTAACTATGTATAGTTGGATTTTCCTCATCCCATTCTCCCTTCCTGTTGCAGGCAATTCCTATGATACAGAAGCCTGGGCAAGATCAGTGGAGAGAGAGGAAATAGGTTTTCTTCCACTTGAAGGGGGTCTTTGGGAACTGAGTGAGGTGGAAATTCCAGGATTGTCAGGGAAAGTCCAGTGTGTGACCCTAGTGTCATCAGGACTCTGTAGTTGTTGGGCATTTTTGCTGCCCTGAAAGTAATATATCTCCATTCCCCCAACCCTTCATTGTCCTCTCAAGTATGGTAATATTTGTAAAACTGTTATAAATGGGGCTCTGTCTCAGCACCCCCACATTCCTCATCAGAATTGCTGGCCTGTCTGGAGGGTCCAAAAGGTACATTTTTACAGAGTGTGAACATCTCTTTCCTGTCATTGGTGACCTACATGATGGATAGCCCCTTAGCTATGAGTCTAAGATGAGGTAATACCAAATTTCAAAGAATAAATCATAGTAGTTCCAAACGCCCCTCCCACCCAAATCATCTACCAAGTCCCTCCCAGAAATTTCTGGAAGTATACAAGGAACATGTGAACACAACTGAATTATCAGTTGTCACCACTAAACAGTAACTACTCACTGGACAACTACTCAGTGAACAACTTATATTCCCCAAGTCCATCTCTCTCAGAGCAGCTGAAAGAAGGATCTTGAGAGAAGCCCCTCATATGTTGTAGGCTCTGACTTCCAAGGCTCCCAGAATGGTGCTGGATCCATGTAGAGGATGGAGAACTACTTTCTCCTCACACTTTATTATTCTTGGGGCCCAAACTCATTCTGTTTCTGTCCAGTCTCTTGTGAACAGTTCTGTCAGCTCCAGGCTCTCTCCAAAATCTTACCAAGTCTCCTGAAGGAGCTCTACTGGCTTCAGAACTTTATTACTCCAATCATGAGGGTCAAGGATAGACCAAATGGCAAGATGGACATAAGAACCACCTTTTCCCTGTAATATCCCTCTCTTCCCCTAGTTTTCTCTGTAACCAGGAAACCTGTCCCAAGCACAGGACTCCAAGACCCTGGAACCTGTCTCAGTGCCATGCTTCATTTAGAAGAAATGTGAATCTAACCCCAGAGGCCTACATGAATTATGTCATTTTTTGTTGGGGGATTTCATGAAAGGGTAGCACAGAGTTTACATGGCAGCATGTCTTCTCTAAATTCCCCTAGGCCCCAAATGACATACTCATGCCATTTTCCTCTCTTCCCATTATGCCATCCTAAACTGTTCCCCATTCCTCTCTTGAGCATGGATCTTCATCTGTTACCCTCTCCCATTGACCCATGCTCACCACCCTGCATCTTCTTCCCAGTGGCTAACACTCATGAATCCTTCATTTGGTGAATGATTTATCCCAACCTATTCTCTCCCCCTGAGTCTCAATTTCAAATTCTTCACCTTCCATACTCTACATCCTCTTCTTGCCTTCTCAGTTCTTCACTTTATGATGGACCTAATATTTCCCTCCTCCACCCTCCTTGGTCTTGTTTTCCTTTGCTTAGTTTCTGATTCTCAAATGTTCTGCCCCACTCATCCATGCCATTTAGTTGAGGAGCTAAGAACAACTTTCCATGCTCTACAGCAGCCCCATAAACAGAGACTGGAGAATTCAATGGTGGTCATATCTTCATCCTCACCAATACTTCTCTTTAACTATCTCCATCCTGACATGCAAACTTTTCAAAGGTCTCTTGTGAGTTGAGTGGAGTATGACCTGCTATGGTTCTGTTCCTGAGATAGGATTCTGCCCTGAGGTTGGATAGTGCTACCCTGAACTTTCTTGGGTGAGTTACAGAAATGAACATGTTAAACAAAGTTTGCAATGAGAAAGAAGAGCTTCATTTATTAATTTTTGATAGGACCATAAAGAGGGACAGGTGGAAGCCTTGGGCTTCTGGAGACCAGTAGGATAAACCTTCTGGGGAAGCTCTTGAAACTCTCCAAGGAAATTTTCCAGCAGGAAAGGGAAGGGACAGGAATAAGAAGCATCAGACTGAGACTAGTTCTGGGCACTTGAGAATTTCTTTTTCTTTTCAAATATTTTTTGCTTTAATCTCATGTCCAGGTCAGCAGCAGCCCCCAGAGCTGTGGCCACAGCCACAGCCCCCATCACTGCAGTAGGAGCTCTGGCACTGGCATCGGTGGGAACTGCGGCACCTGTGGTGGCTCAGGCAGCAGGCAGCCTTGGAACCGAGCCCATGATAGCTCCCAGAGCTCAGAGCACAGTCAGAAGAGACTGCAGGCAAGCATTGTGTGGGGCTCTTTGGGGGACATTTGAGTGAGGGGCACTTGGGAGGGGCCTGGCACTGCTGCTGGTTCTGCTGGCAAGATATCTCTGTTGGTGAGCAGTGAGATTGGACAAAGCAAAATATATATCAATGCAGAGGCGTCAATGGTTTAATTATAGATCTCATTCCCCTAAGACCAGGTAATCCTCTAGGCAAGATCTGGGGAAGGGAAATAGAAATTGGTTTGGGGT